ATTAGAAAAATACTAAATGATCTTAGGTTGTTAGTGGATGTTGATTTATCATAAGTGAAGCCTAGCCTACCACGATGTGAAGAATGGAAGAGTTTATGTTAATATTATGTTATGTCTTATTTATATGTCTTAAGAGGACCCAATGGATATTCAATGGGTATGGATATCCATCGGATTCGGATATGGACACAATTTTTCACCCATGGATTTTTTTCATGAGCGGGCGAAGACTGTCTTCATGAACATGGATATGGATTTGAGATTGTTCAACCCGATCCAAACCCGACCCATTGCCATCCTTAAGTGATATCCTCATCGGCAAGCGCCCAAACTCATAGGGAAGGAAAATGAAATAAACAACCCACAGCCCAGAAATAGTTGCAAGGACAGAACTCATACGCGGGCTGAGAAAGGAACAACAGCCTGGGCCCACAACAAGAAACTTATGAGACATGTACATGAAAAAATACGAGCGGGGAGCGGCAGAAAATGAATCGACGAACACAAATCTAGACGCATGGATCACACGGTTAGTAAGTTTGATGAGACATAACTAAATGAGAATTAGCAACCAGACAATAGCTTCCTTTCTTAAGAAAAGGACCCCAATCTGGCGCACGTCACTTTTTTGAAGAAGCATCTGTAACTTTATTCTCCACTACCTAAAACAAACGAAAGGTTCCTTTTCTTGTCTTGCGTTTGGTCCGACCTCTCATTCTTACCTCTCAATCCCGATTTTCCTCTCCCACCTGATTTTTCTCACATTGGTGGATTCTTTTCCATGCTTTAATTGCTTTATTTATTGGCCTCCCAAATAAATGATGATACAAGGCAATCATATATTAGCAATAACTGGCAATCGACAATCAACGGCTAAATCTTCTGGCAAGTGGCAATCATATGATAAGTGACAATCACGGGCTAAATCTTATGGCAAGTAGCAATCATATAAACAATATATGGTAATTAGTGATAGGCAGCTAAAATCTTTAACATGGTACTATCTCTCCATCTCTCTCGCGACTTGTTGTAGCGGTGTCTTCCTCGGACGCATGAGCGATCTTCTCCATCTCCTCGCCAAGACCCTCTCACCTCATCAGGTTGCCAGCGGATAGGAAGGCCTAGGCGCGACAACTGCCACCACCTGCAACTCCCCAATCCTCGTCGACACAACATGCTAAACGGTGCGTGATCTTACCGATGATCGACGCCGCCACATCGTGGAATTTCCGGAGATTGTTTTGGTGATGTCTGATGCAACCACCAAATTGCTTGCTCGTGCACATATCTCTATGTGTGTTAATCAAACGACATTCCTCTCAATCTTATCTTCCTATTTTTTTTTGTGTGCGTGTGTTAGGCTTAATGAAATTTCTATTAGAGGCACGCCTTCATGGATGGGATCAGGCAAAGAGAAAGTAGCACGCCACGAGGTGCACCGCCGAAACCCTGCTCCTTTCCTTTTCTGATTCTATATTATTAATCCGGTCCTACATGGTGTGTGTTATATTCTCTAATATTGTGAGATCTTAAAGATATGTCAATCACAACCCTGATGGTAATGCTTATTCTGTTTATTTTGGATGTTGCTTTGCAGCATAGTGTGGACCAATCCAAACTCCTTCACGAAGTGTAAAGTGTGCCTAATTTTTTTTACCAGTACAGGGATAATAAAAATATGGCAATGTACAACACTCCTACATGAAACATTCTGAACCAAGTCATGTCGAGGTACCTCCAGAAATTTATGCAACTTCTGTGAACTATTGTGTTACTAGAAATCATATCAATATTGGTAGGTAAGAAGCTTCAATTTACTTTTCCAATTTTATTGATGGCTGATTAGTTATTAATAGTCATGATTCCAAAGTGAACCCTTTCATGAAGCATGAATTACTGCTAGCTCCGTAATGTATGCAAGAAATTTTTATATCAAAGTGTGTGTATTTACAGTTGCATAAGATTCATGTAGTCAAGATATAATTTGTTATTTTGGTCTGTATGGTGCATCCACAAATTATGTAGTTATTACCTCATGATCTTCATCCTTTTTTTTATCACTATAGGGTTTTGACCTCACTGAAGTAAATACGATCTCCAGTCAAAACTTCAAAAGCGGCTCAATGCACATATTGAGGTACATACCAAATACTAGCACTTTCATGATTTATGTATCTTTTGCCGAGGTTGGGTTTATAAGATCTCATTCTCATTGCATGTGGATTTCTTGGACTTTGAGTTCGACCTGCTAACAATTACTCCCACTTTGGAATGAAATAAGGAAGGAAAAAATTCATTTCAACTTTACATGCAAAGAAGAAGGAATGAGTCAATGCTAGAGCTTTTGACATTGTATGCTATGCAAAGTTGATACTTCTGTATGTTAATATGGCTCAACATGTTTATAAGATCGGGCAAATTGTCTGGTGATCTCAGAACACCGTGTATTTTTCATTTTGCTCTTGCTGCATTGAAAATTGTTTGGCTCCCGTAGCAACGCAGGAGCATTTACCCAGTCATACTTATAACAACTACAGGTAGGCTTTCTTTGACCTAAGATCAAAGAAAATACAAAGTAACTCTTATGACTAAGAATTACAGTGAAATCTCTTGCAAACACTTTGTTCGCGGTATCAATCTATGCTGAAAGAAATACTTCAAAGACTTCGGCAGAGGCTGCAATTAGACTGGAGTAATGATGTTGTCACTCTTTCACCTACACGAACATTACCAAAAATGATTTTTGAAAGCGCCTTGAGTCGCCCATCCAAAAAGATAGGAAACCTTGATCGATGAACGTATTTGGGATGGGGATGATCCCCTAGAAGTGCATGCCGTTGAATCACTATATCTTCACCCATGGTGTCGATGAAAATTTTCACCTCCACAAAGAATCAAACCAACAAAAAAGCTTGAGACGACAATATAAACTCATCAGATCCAAAAAATCAGATCTACGAGGACAAAATACTCTCTAATCTCTTGGCACTGCCAAATGAAGAGGTAAATTCTTACAAAACTATGATGATCACTAGACGTTGACGAAGAACATACAGGTCTAAAGATCCGATGTCCCCCACCTCTCAACGCAGGGATGACAGCTGAAGGTGAGGGGACCTATATTTCTCAGATGGTGACGGCGGCACCGGGAACCCTCAGTAGACACCCTCTAGTGATTGTTTCACGTGGTTCGCTCGTACTTCCTCCAGCGCGACCCCCGGTTTGGCCTAGAGGCCCATTCTACTTTTTTTTGAACTACTTAAAGAAAATCATCCTGAACATAAAAATGTCATGAACAAAAAAAGCTCAAAATTATTAGCTGCCATTCTCGGGATAAAAATGTCACGAAGAGAAAAACACAAAATTATAAAAGCGAGAAATGCCATGCTTTGAAAAAAATGTCGTGCTACTTTATAAATCTGCCACCCTCTAGATATATTTTTATATAGATACGCCCCAAAAATAAAATTTTGATGCCACTAAAAGAATAAAAACCCATCATCTCAAGCATAAAAAAATGGGATCCTATTTATAATATATTTTTATCCTATGCCATACTATTATTTAGAAAATGCCATCATATTGTTAATAAAAATGGCATCCGGTTAGTAATAAAACTATCATGCCACTAAAACTAAAAATTTCATCTCTCAATAATAAAAATGCCATTCGATTATTGATAAGAATGACATCATATTGTTATTAAAAAAATGCCATGCGCTTAGTAATAAAACTTCCATGCCATTTAAAATAAAAAATGTCATCTCTCAATAATAAAAATGATATCCTCTTAAAAAATGCCATGCTATAAAAAGGAAAATTGCCAAGTGAGAAAATGAGAAAAGGGGGATTTTCGGGATTGAAAAATATATGTGCATTTTAAACACAAAATATTCATAAAGGCCCTCTCAGCCCAGTAACGTGGGCGCCCGTTTCATGCGACGGAAGTCGTGATGGCAATGCGACCCTGAAACCCGCGTCCTCGCGGGTGTTTTATCCTATTAAGGACAGGGATGGACGTCGTTCTAACTCCGCGGGGCTGCTGCTGGGCTCATTATAAAACCCAACATGTTTCACGGGTTCAAACCAATTTTCAGTAGTACATGAACCTGAACCCCGCCATATACCTGTCAAAATACGTTGCATATCCACTCATACACCAAATTCTACCCATTCGCTGATCCATACATGACCGGCCTAGCCCCAGCGCCCCAGCCCCAAATCACACGACCTCCAGTCCTCCACACCCCTCGCTCGGTAAACCCTTATGTCAGTCGCTACTTGCTCCTCAACTCGCTCCCGCACACGGCAGCACACCACCTAAACCTAAACCTAGAGCTTTTCCTCCCGCCACCGCCGCTCGATGCCATCTCGCAGCCACCGCTCGATGCCAACCCAACATGTTTTCACTGACTGCTCGCGATGACGGGTTCCTCGCGGGTTCAGAAAACCTGACGGGTTTAGGGTCCGGGCAAAAAACTGACCCGTGTACGTTGACGGGGGCAGGGACAAGCTTGCGATTTTCTTGTGCGGACAGGTTTGAGCAAGCAAAACCGGCGGGTTTTGTCCCGGTTGCCATCTTGAGACGGAAGGGAGAACGTTCACTGGGGTTAGCCCCCTTGCAAACGGTTCCCCAGATAACAATTCCCTAAGAAAAAGTGTCGAGCACAGATGCCCTTGGCCGGAGTCTACCTGAAGTCTCAAGTGTCGAGCACATATCCTTCCGTGGCAATGCTGAACAACCTTAACCGAAAGCAGGGCAAGTCCTCTGCCACTACTCCCAATCTGCACCACTTCCCCAGCACAGCACAGCGCGATCTCCGGCCATCTCCATCCGTCCGCATCTCCCAATCCCCGCTCCTCTCCCCGTACTGCGCCCCCACGTTCTCCCCTCGCGCTGGTGCTGGTGGCCCTCCCCCAGCTCGCCTCAAATCATCCCCACGCCGACGCCGCGATCCACAGCAAGCTCAGAGCTCCTCCACCCCACCCAGCCACCCACCATGGCCGGGATGTACCGTCCCGAGCCGCCGAACCCCACCGCGCGCCGCCAGCGCCTCGTATCAATCCTCCTCGGCGCCTTCTTCGCCTTCCAGCTCCTCCTCTTCGTCGCCTTCCGCTCCGCGCCGCCGTCCAAGCTTGCCTCCACCGCTGCCGCAACCTCCTCTTCCGTACCGGAGCCGCCCAGCCGCGGCACCGAGGACTCCGGGTGCCGGGGTGGGCTCGTGTACGTCTACGACCTCCCGGCCGTCTTCAACGAGGATCTGCTCGCCATGTGTGATACGCTGATGCCGATGTACTCCGTTTGCCCCTACCTCACCAACGACGGACTCGGGTTTCCGGCGGAAGGGACCAGCTTGTCGACGATCCTGCCGGCCGAGCTTCTTGGGTCGTGGCACTCCTCCGACCAGTTCGCGCTCGAGCACATCGTCCACCGTCGCCTGCTCTCGCACCGGTGCCGCACCACCGACCCGGCGCGCGCCGCGGCGTTCTTCGTGCCGTTCTACGCGGGGCTGGCCGTCGGGCGCCACCTGTGGTCGGCGAACGCCACGGACGCCGACCGGGACAGGGACTGCGTCGCGCTGCTTTCGTGGCTTCACGCGCAGCCGTACTACAAGCGGTCCAATGGCTGGGACCACTTCCTCGCGCTGGGCCGCATTACCTGGGACTTCCGCCGCAGTCCGAGCGGCGGGTGGGGCGGCAGCTTCCTCGCCATGCCCGGGGTCGCCAACGTCACCCGCCTCGTCATCGAGCGCGAGCCATGGGACGCCATGGACGTCGGCATACCATACCCGACCGGATTCCACCCGCGCACCGCGGCCGACGCGCGCGCGTGGCAGCAGCACGTCACGTCAGTCCCGCGCCCCAGGCTGTTCGCCTTCGCCGGCGCGCCGCGGTCGGCCATCAAGGGCGACTTCCGCGCGTTGCTGCTCAGCGATTGCCAGGCCGCGGGGGCGGCGTGCGGCGCGCTGGACTGCGCCGAGGGCAAGTGCATCAAGGACAACGCGCTCGTCCTGGAGCTGTTCATGGGCGCGCGGTTCTGCGTGCAGCCGCGCGGGGACAGCTTCACGCGCCGCTCGCTGTTCGACTGCATGGTGGCCGGGGCCGTGCCGGTGCTGTTCTGGCGGCGGACCGCGTACCTTCAGTACCACTGGTACCTGCCGACCGAAGACGGCCAAGAAGGGGAGTGGTCCGTCTTCATCGATCGCGACGAGCTGCGCGCCGGCAACGTGACCGTGCGCGGCGTGCTGGCGGCCATCCCAGAGGCGCGGGTGCGGCAGATGAGGGAGCGCGTGGTGGAGATGATACCGCGGTTGGTCTACTCCGCCGCGGACAAGGATGGGCTCGGCGGCGGCATGAAGGACGCCATAGACGTCATGATCGACGGCATGCTGCGGCGGGTCGCGGAGCAGCGGCGGAATTGGAGGAGGACGTGATTTTGCCACTGGAGAGGATCAAACTGTCAAAATGATCATTCTTTTGCTTTCTTGTTCAGATTCCTTGTGTGAAGAGTTAAATATTGAACAATCTCAACTTGTAGCCTTACTTTTGACTGTGGTTGTATATGCGAATTACAGCGATACTGTTACATAGTAAATTAACAGAATCTAAGCAAGTGTATGAAATTGTGGAGTCTATTTATGGGGCACGGTGTACATTGGAGTTTGCAACACGGTTTGACAGGCTGCATCAAATGTGATACTCCTCGGTCAATTGTGTATTGCATCAAATGGAGTATGAAATGGCTGGCACCTCGATCCGATCTATTCCCTCCGTTCTTAAATATTTGTCTTTCTAGACATTTTAAATGACTATTACATACGGATGTATATAGACATATTTTAGAGTGTAGATTTACTCATTTTGCTCCGTATATAGTCATTTATTGAAATGTCTAGAAAGACAAGTATTTAAAAACGGAGAGAATAGCAAGCATGTTACCATGAAGCACAGCAGTTTCTGGTCCTTCGGAGTACTCCTACGGCTGTTCGTAGCCAGAGCATCATTGATTTGGTTTGAGTTTTTTCTTTTTTCCAAGAGCTACTTAAATGTCGAAACACGACCAAATTTGGTACGGAGATGACACATTTGAGCATCTTGCATGCATATTTTTTCTATTTTCTTACATTTTACTGTTCATCCGCGGAGCAGATGAGTCCGGGAGCCAAATCGCAGCGTCCAAATAGTGTATAGTATCCTAGTCTAGTATCTTAGATAATCTTGTTTATTGTTTTACACTCTTTTCTCATTAATGTTATGACTACTCGGTAGTAAGCCTGCATTAAAAGGTAGAGTTCTTTTTTTGTAGCTGGAACAAGTGCTCCCTCTATACTCCCTCCATCCATTAGAAGAGCAGTGCTATACACACGATAGTGGCGGACGATGTGTGCACGACAATGCAATCAGCTCCGTCCATTGCATGGCAACAGCAGACAGCAGGCCGCTAGATGCTTATCGTGCAGTGGTCGTGCGCATATTTGTCGTCTGCGAAGCAGTTCCGCCATTAGAATTTCTCCTAACATTTATAGCTACGCGTTTGTGTCATGTATATTATAATTGTGAGGCATGTTTAGCCAGCACAATAACTTAATTTATATGCCCATGGCATAGTAGAAATATTTAGTTTGTTCAAAAGCAACATAGTATAAAATTCAGCACTAAAGAAGTGTCATAAGATAACAAAACCCAACCAGGTTATATTATATTCAGTACTAAGAGCAGTCACATAATACAACAAAAGCAACTACAGTAGTAGTGAGATTAATATTTAAGCAAGCAACACAATTAGCAAACCATGGGTAAATCATGAGCCACCTTGCACATTACAGAAACCGAAAAATGGCGAAGTCATACCTCGCTTGCCAACCTAGCTCCATACATACGTGCACTATCAACATATTCTCTGTTATAAGTGATAATATATAAATATCAAATTGATACCAAGTACACTTGATCTATGCAACAACATAATCTTAAAAGTTAGTAAAGGTTGCACACGCTAAATAAATTTAAAACAAACAAAGCAAGCATGTCCTACAAAAGTCACGCCAAAACAACCAACAACACATAGAAACAATCATCAACATTGACCACCACCGACTGCAATGCACGGATCATGACAATGGTTCTCTCGCAATGGCGACTCGCCATTGTCGGATTTATCCATATAAGGCTACACAATGAATTTCAATTTTAAAAGTCAAAGGCTGGAAAAGGGTGTCATGTGTTTTTTTCATACTTCTAAATATAATTGTCCGATTTTAAATAGGATTAGTAAAAATCATTGGTGTCCAATATCGGAAAAATAAAAAACATTGGTGTCTTCTATGCTATGCTAGCTTTGTCTAGTTGGACTGGTACCAATCTCTCTAAACATAGCACCCAACTTTGGTAAGCGACTCTTGCCAATAAAATTTTTTGTTTTTAACATCAGAGCGTTAATATTCTTGAGAAAAACAAAAAACACCACAAAATTTCGGTATAGAGATAACACCACATGATAGCAATCACGTTCATCGTCCGAAGCATGGCCGACGTGCAAAACGCCAATGACCATTGCCCGTTTTAGCAACCAACATTCAACATTCAAAAGCAATTGTCGCATATCTCCGAACATTCTCAATGATAAAAACCCTGCCACCAGAGTCCAGCGTTTTATAGAAAGCTCCGTTGGGACATATCTAGAAGAAATTGGTGGCGGAGATAAGCACATCTAAAATAACTGGGCAAATTTGACTCTATAAACGTCTGTCGACGGCGCTGGCTCCCCCCTCGTTTGTCGGTCCGAACAATCACATCCCTCATATTCAAATTATCATTTTCATGCAAACACATGCCCGTAGATAGTATAGCACATTGCTAGTTCATCACCAATTCAACACAACCAAAATAAACCACAATTCAATAATTCAACACATGCCAAAATAGCATCCAACAATTCATTAATAGGCGATACACGAATGAATCAATTGCCTCCGTTGTTGCACTCATTGATCTTCTTCTTCATGTTCTTCAACACTTTTTGCCTTTCCTCGTCCAAGAGACTAGTGTCCTACATATGATCCTCAACTCCTTCATGTCCCTCGCAAGCCTTAACTTATCTTTCTTGAGCTCAATTGATTCCAACGTCTTGGCCTTTTCAAGTTTTCATTTTGCCCATTTCTCTTGCTTTTACATGTCGATTTTCTACGTCTCAATGCTCAACCTCACCTGCACCCTCTCCCGGTCAAACAACATCCTCTCCCTTTGCACATCCAAGAAGAGTTTGTACCTCTCCTCCTTGGTGTAAAAAATGTCCATCCATGTGGCAGACATTTTGCTTCTCGTGCCGTCACGCGCGACCCTATCCTTCTCCCATTTTTTCCATGATCTGTCGGTTCCTCTTTAGCACGGTCGCTTGTGTATCCACCCCTCCACTTGGATTGTCGGCGTCATCATCCAATCCAATAGATTGTTGGGAGGCTGGGCCATTGTTTTCTTCATCATCTTGATAGGGTTTTTGAGCTCATCTCGGCCGGGCCGTCGTTCATGGTGGTGGGGGCGGGGTAGTGGGTGTCGACACCTAGGATGGCGGCGCGAACACAAAGGAATGGTGGACGAGGGCGAGGGCTTAGAGGCGGGAAATGAAGGACGGGCGCAGGAGCAGGGCGGTCGATTTGATGGACTTGGTCAAAATTGGAGCGATTTGGAGTAGGGCCGACACGTCAGGTCCAACATGACAGACGTGTCTCGACGGCCCTAGTTCGCCGCACATATGGGCTTGGTTTGAGAGGTCGTAGATACCTTGCTTTGAAGAGTCCGATTGAATGACGTTTTTGTGTCGGCGCCCGGGCTGTCCGCCTTGAACGCTTGGAGAGAAAGTGAAGGGTCCGATTGTAGATGCTTTAACCACCGCTGCATTGCACCATCTCTCTCCTAACTGAGACGCTGGTCCTTGACCCCAAAACTTAGACGCATACATGCCTTCATTGATGAGGCTTCACGGTCAGTAGCTTGTGTTGTGTGCATGTCATCAGTATTAAGAATTGAAAGGAGTCAGATGTCGTCGGGCGCTAACTCAATTTCTAAACCGAGGCAGATTCGCCGTGCAAGTTCAGCATCTTCGCTTTGGGATGTGCACTGCCCTGCCCGAGTAGTAGTACAATCCAGTGGTGGGCTTCTTCTGCTCGAGTTTTTGCACATGGACCTCAACCTGGAGGCCTTCATTGCTGAGGCTTATTATATAGTATGTGCTTAAAGTCTGCTTCCGGCTCTGTTTCACCATCACGCAGACGAAGAACACGGACTGAAGCTATCATCGCCCAACGATTTGATTCGAAAGACGAGGCGCCAGCGTCAGGTGTGTGCAGTAGCACATGTCGTGCATCGGAGCCAGCCAGGTCGCCAACATTACACCCTTTTTACATGTACGAGTACTCATCATGTTTGTGCCGCCTCTGAGATTCTTTGGCGTGAGTAAGCTCAAAGGGGCGAACCGCTCTCGTCTATTAAACGTTATCATCGCCAGTATCGCCCGGGGGTAGGGGCCGCACGCCTCCTCTCCGAAACGGCAATGATTTTCCCACAGCCGCGCACGCTCTACCCCGTACCAAGCTCGCCGGAGCCAGCTCGTCGTCAATCCTCCCGTACTGCTGAATACTGTACAACCGATAGTTGATGAGTGCACAGTCTACCAGTTTTCCCTCTACTGCAACTTCCGCTCCGCTGCCCTCTCTACACTTCACGTCCTTGCGCTACGCGTCAAAAATTCGTCTGTAGACGTTTTTCACTTTGTCGATATGGATAGATAGTATAGGTAAGGGTCCATAACTAATATGGTGGTAAATACGAACGGCAATCGGATCCAAGTGATTGGACGGCCTGCAACGCAACTCCCTCCCAGATGCAACATGCCAATGTTTTTCCAAACATAACATAGGTCACGTTGCAACCGATGAGCACAACATGACTCTGTTGCAAACTGAGGTCAAACAACCGTGGTGGAGGGCCTTTCCCCTAGCACAACATGGGACATGTTGCATTTGATAAGTGCCACATGGCTAATGTTTGCAAACGGGAAGAAGGTGGTGGACAACATTTTTTAAGCACAACATGAGTTAAGTTGCAACCGACGAGTACAACATGGCTCATGTTGTAAACAGGCAGGTCGTAGAATGTCGTAGTGGACGGCTAACGCGACCAGATCAGATGACTATCGCACGCGGGATCCAACGGCTCTGGAGGCAGCCGATCTCATCTGCGTGTTAGCTGGCAGACGCGCGTAGCATGTGCCAAAAATTATTGACTCTTTCTTTCCCGTCTTGTAAGGCGATTAGGACTAAGTCTTCCTTCCCTCAATCATCACCAGTGAGCCCGTGGATTTGCTTCCCCTCTGCCTTATGCCCGCGGCCAACGGTGGCGACAGGGAATCCTGATGCATGGGTTTCGACTAGTGGAT